TTGAAATAAAGTACAAACAGAGGTCCTAATGTAGGATAATATATTACTGCTTATTTCATAAGAATAACATTTTTACAACTGGAAAACTCAAAGTATAAAACAGCAAGATTTTAGATTGAAAGAGCTTCCTACTATCCATGCAAACACCCGGGAATGGTAATGCTTTTCTGGAGAACTGGAGGCTCAATAGATGGTGATTTCATACCTGATGATCCCTGATCTGGAACCTGATTAGGGATCTGCTCTTGAGCAGGTTACGTTACCAGCATAACTTACCATGATGAGAGTTTTGTTTTTGTAGTACAGAAAACCCAGGGCCAGTCTGACATTACCTGGATATGAGAAAATACTGCTTCATAGTACAGGTCTCGGGCAGCTTGCAGTCATGCATCATGCAACAGCTAAAGCTTGGCCCAAACTGGGTCATGAAGGAGAATTATTTTGAGCGCAGCAGCAAATCTACAACAGAATGGGTGAAAGTGAAAAGAATCAAGGTGTTACAGTGACCCAGTCAAAGTCCTAACCTCAGCCCCACTGACATGCTGTGGCAGGCTTGCATAAAGACTAACCTCGTTTAAGGAAAAAATTCTCCACAACCATGAGCGAGACTGATAAAGTCACACAGAAAGTGTCTCCTTCAAATTATTGATGGTAAAGGTGGTTCTACAAACTACTGAATCAGGGAGTGTACTCAAGTTTTCACAGGACTCTGCAGTCCTGTGAAAACTTTTTTTTTCACACGACTGTATAAGGACACTGAATATTTAGGCTCGTGCTGCATTGCAGGATCAAACTTTCTAAATGTTGTTGACTTTCCTTAACTTTTTGGCTATATATCCTAATTTTAAAAATGCATTTAAAGTACCATTTCCTTGGGAGATTCTTTCCTTCAATATGAGTAATTCTCTGTCTCTCATGTTTTTCTTTTCTTCCTTTCTTTCTTTCTTTTTTCCATGTGTGTCTTACCGGCAGGCTTATTAAACCTGGAGCAGCTCCTCAGGCAGTTCCTCATCTCCAAGGAGACTCTGTCTGTGCGCATGCTTGATGACAGCCAGGACCCGACCCCACTCCTAAAGGAGATTCGAGATGACAAGACTCCCACCATAATAGTCGATGCCAATGCCACAATGTCACATATCATTTTGGAGCGGGTTAGTATGGGACACACGATAGCCGTGATCTGTATGCACTGATAACGCTTCTCTTTATTCCGTGCCTGCGGTCTGGGATTAATACCACTCCACATTCATATAAATCTCAAAAAGTGAAAGCGAGGGAAGAACGCCGGTGGCAACAATTGTTCAAGGATAACTGTTCAACTTTCTCCAGTATTTGGAGACAGTTGGAAAAGTTTTAAGTCGTTTAGTGTTGAATTGCAAGATGGATGATAAGAATTTGTGTTTAAGTGGGCACAGGTTTTCAAAGACAGAGTTATGCTCAAAATCTAAGCCTAAATTAAAAAGGAAATGAACGCAAGCGATATTGCCAAACAAGCACGTCCTTTCAAATTACTGCACATGTAGGAGTGCATAAAATCCAGTCGTATTCCAATGACTGAGTGTCGAGAAGTAAGATTTCACCAAATGTTTTGCAGGTTAGTTTAAGAACAGACTCATAAGACAAAGGCCTTTTCTCCACTTTTGTACCTTTCATTCATTTTATTTAAAGTGTTTTTTCTTTAAGACAGTGTATCACATGAAGTGAATTTATTATCTACTGGTTCCTCCTCTTTTACATAAACAGAGAAAAAACGACTGACAACACCAGTGAGTGCAGTTTCTGTCAGAAGCATATCAGTGTGACCTTTGCGTGGTTTCTTTGCTAATGGCACATACCAGTAATTAATGCTGTGGAACATTAATATGACCTTAGACACGTTTACTTTAATGTGCAGTGCTGTGAAAAAGTATTTTCCCCCTTTCTGATTTCTTTTCTTTCTTTTTTCTTTTTTGCATATTTGTCACAATTAGATGTTTCAGATGTTTTCAAATATTTTGCTTTTACATTTTGCAAAGATAAGCTGAGTAAATGCAAAATCCTGTTTCTTAATGATGATTTCATTTATTAAGGCAGTCTGTCCAAACCTACATGGCCTTGTGTAAAAATGATTTGCTCCCTTGACCTAATATTTAGAATTAGGAATTTAGAACTGCAGTCGAGCATTTGTAATAAGTGGCGATGACTCTTTGACATCACTGTGGAGGAATTTTGACTGGCCTGTGTAACCATCTCAATCTAATTTAAGTCTGGATTTTGACTAGGCCACTCCAAAATGTTATTTAATTTTGTTTTATTTTATTTTATTTTAGCCATTCAAGTGGCATTTAGCTTCACAAACCCCTTCAGGCTTTCCTGGTGCAGAGCAGAATTCATGGTTCCATCAATTACAGCAATAATTGACCAACACATTACCTCCACCCTGTTTGAGTGTTGGTGTGATGTTCTTTTTATGGCATGCTGTTAGTGTTAAGCCAGATGTAACAGGACCTTCCAAAAATGTTCAGCTTTTGTCTCATCAGTCCAGGATATCCACCAGATGGTGGATCCCCAAAACAAGCCTTTGTGTTCTGTTGAGTCAGCAGTTTCCCCGTGGAGCTCTGCTACGGATGCTGTTTTCACGCTTCTTATTGTTGAATCCCAAATTCGAATCTAATCTAAATGCATTTGGAGTCATTTTGGTAGACCAGGCCTCCCCTGAAAGTTTTCTCCATTTGTGGATAATGGATCTTGCTGGGGTTCTCTGGAGTCCCAGATCCATAGAAATGGCATTGTTGCCCTGTTCCAGACTGACAGACGTCAGTGACATTGTTTTGTGAATCGCATGTGTTGATTTTTTGAGAACTTTTAGCCTACTTCCTGTTCTCAGACAGCTTCTATTAAAGTGATTTCTTGATTTAGGAAGGGTAGTGGTAACCAGGGCTTGGTCGTGGCCAGTGAAAGTCAAATCAACTAAAAATGTGGTTAATCACCGTTAATTCATGTCTGGGGAGGGCAATTACTTTTTCAACCTGGGCCTGGTTGGTTTGGTTATTTTTATCCCTTAATAAAAAAAAATCATAATTTAAAAACTGCATTTTGTATTTAATCTTGTAATTTTTGTCTAATTAGTTATATTTTGGCAAATATCGCAAAAGAAAGAAAAATCTGTTTTTACAGCAATGTAATACTACTGATACAGCTCCTGCTGTTTGGACATTTATGCTGTAAAAAGTAATAATGGGATCGGTGCAGGTTGGAGCTGAAGAAGCGAGGGTGTGTGGCAGCAGCATATGGTCTCTTAGTAATTAATACACACCTCATTATTTCTTGAAGACAATAGATGGATAGCTAGAGTGGAGGTGACAATGAGTGGGGGCAGAAGAGGGTTGGGAGAGGGATGGAGAAGAAGATGATTCTCTTGTTTTTTCATTATATTAATTGTTCCCTCTTATTCATATATATATATATATACACACACACACACACCCCCACACACACACACACACACATATATATCACAGTAGTTTTCAGTCTAAGTAAAGTTTTCAGGTTGTCTTTCAGTGGTCATCTAGTCACCATAGCAACCACAGAGCAGCAGGAGTCCACACTGGACTGTCTCTTTCTCTCTGTGTGTTCTCCATCTGTCTCTTCAGTTTGAATATGGAGTTGGTCTTTCTTCTCACCACTCTCTGTTCTCTCTGTGTTTTCTCTGCACCCAAATGCAGTGAAGAGGATTTCACTTTATTTCTTCACACCACCCTCGCCATGTGGTCTTGTTCATCCATCTCCTTGGCTCTCGCATAGCCCGTCTTCTTTCTGCGTCACGCTGTCTGTCTCTGCCTGTCAAAAGACAGTCCTGTGGCAGGGTGGTAGAAAGTTGGCAATCAAACCTCATGTGAAGTGTGCGGTTGCCAAACATATCAAAGCTCTGCACTGGAATATTCACGAGTCTCAGATAATCATGAGAGCGCCAAGCTTGTCTAAAGGGACAGGAATGGCCTATGTCATGCAAGACATTGCCCCTTATTAGTTTGTTTACATCTTACTTCAAACCGTCTTCCGGCAAAGGTCTCACTCTCTGAGGTTTTAGCATTCAGGTGGGTTTAGGTCAGCATTTTGTGTTTAATCTCATTTATTCAGGCCTCCCAATTCTGTGCACAGCTGTTTATTACAAGACTTTGTCCAGTATATATGGTGCAGTGCAAACTGTGCACTCTGACCAAAAGCTGTGGTTGAACAACCACAAGATCAAAAGTAAAAGAAAAACCCAAAACAAAACGCAAGAAGTCTTATTTCAAAAGTAGCAAAAGAGACCGAAGGGATTTTTCATCAGCCATTAGCTATGGCGGTGTTGTACATCCTGAATAAAGTGTGGGTAGCAAACAAAGCGTTCTGGGTCATAATGTCATTTTCTGTTTGGTGCTATTAAAGGCAGAGGTCACCCACAGAAAAGAGGCAGTGGCTTGAAATATTCAGTTTTTTTTATGTATTTTCTGCAAAGAGAGAACATTTCAGCCGCCTTGTACCATTAGCTACCCTTACCTGCCGTGTAACCCCAGGGCAGACCTTAACAAACAACCCCCCTGAAGCATGTAATTTACTGTGCATAGAGAAGCTCAGGGTACTTTTAGATTAATAGCGTGCTTAAGTTTGCAAAAGTACAAGCTGTACAAAAACATCTTGAGCAGTCATTTGGAGTTTAATAATAAAAAGGCTGTAATAATTAGCACCTTTCATGTTTTTAGTATTTTACTATTTACTGTAGTTTGAACACCTGATACTCACACTCAGCACACAATAAGATTTTGTTTGGCTCACAGGTAAATATCTGTTATTAAAGTCTTTCTGATGATGCACACTTAGAATAATTTCATTGTGGAAACTATATGGATATTATTCTCATTTTCATTCATTTCAAACATCTGTTTCATCATAAGATAAAAGAGATAACTGATAACAAGTTTGATTTAATGTGACTTGTTCCTCTAAGAGAATCCAAACCATGAGAACATGATGCCCCCCCACAGCACAACAGAGACATCTGGTCTCCTCACTGTGGGACTTTTGAAAAACATTTTTTTTGTCAACCACTTGATATTTACAGGTTTATGGGTTTTAATTGGTTTTAATGATAATGTGCGTTGTGGCACTAGACAGTGGAGATTATTGTGGACTTCAGGAAGCACACAGCTCCACTCCCCCCCATCATCCTGACTGACACCCCCATCACCTCTGTGGACTCATTCCGCTTCCTGGGTACCACCATCACCCAGGACCTGAAGTGGGAGCCCACCATCACCTCCGTCATTAAGAAAGCCCAGCAGAGGATGTACTTCCTGAGGCAGCTGAAGAAATTCAACCTGCCAACACGGACGATGATGCAATTCTACACTGCAATCATCGAGTCCATCCTTACCTCCTCCATCACCGTGTGGTATGCTGGAGCCACTATCAGGGACAAACAGAGACTGCAGCGTGTTGCAGACTCCCATCTCCGCAGGACCTGTACACCTCCAGGACACTGGGTCGTGCAGCTCGGATCTCAGCTGACCCTTCTCACCCTGGACACAGTCTGTTTGAGGCAGGAGGCTCCGGTCCATTCGCACCAGAACCTCTCGCCATAAGAACAGTTTCTTCCCCTCTGCTGTTGGACACATGAACAATAACCGTATGACTGTCCCCACCACTAACACATGACCCTACGCTGTGTTCACTGCATCATTCCATGTTTGGCACTGATCACCACCTGCACTCATGTATATATCATGTATATATTTATCTATCTACTTAGCACTTTTAATTCTTATTCTTATTTTTATTTTCATGTCTATTTAAGCTTAATTTATAATACTATGTTTGCACTGAAGCACCGCAGCAATTTCCTAATGTTGTAAACCCGCTCAACATTTGGCAATAAAACCCTTTCTGATTCTGATTCTAAAATCTGTTCCTTCATGATTTTCTTTTATGATAGCTTTAATGAAATGAAACCATGAGAAGTTCACCCTGTCCTTCACAACTGCTCCTCACTCTGACTTGATTTAATCAAATTGTAAGACAGAGTGTCGAACGGCATACTAATGCTCCTCAGAAATTAACTGCTCTATTGAGAACCTTTGTCAGATAAGAATATGCCCGGTGTTATCGAGATGTGCAGTTGATCTGTCTGCTCACACCAGAGTTCAAGTTACACTGCATCACTGACCTCTCTACCCTGTTTTATCACTATCCCTGCTTTTTGCTTTGTTTTCCCACCTCTTTGTGTTTCTTTGACCTCAAACTTAATATCATTTTGTTCAATAACCAATCCTATGTGCCTTGCACTTTTCTTACATTCTCTTTAATCTTTCATCTGTCGCCCTTCCTGTCTTTTTTTTTTCTCTGCAGGCATCAGAGCTGGGAATGCTGTCAGTCTACTACACTTACATCTTCACCTCTCTGGTAAGAAGACGGAAAATGGCGTGGGCGTAACATGTTGATTTCGAGCGCTGTATTAAAATAGTACTTTAATTGATGCTCCTGCCTTGAATGAGTGATTGAGTGGATAGAGCTCTGACAGAGAAATTGTAGAGCCTCGTTTAATCAGGGCTTTACAGGCAGTTTTTTTCTGCTCGTTTAATGTGACTGCAAATTGGAGACCAAGTACAGTTGCTATTCTGGCCTCACTCACTGGGTGAAGTGCACTTCTGGACCAAACAAATAAATATTACTAATTATTATAAGTCATACTGCTGCAACTGCTGGTGTTGTTTGTGCTGCCATTTGTCTTGTAATTATAATTGTAGAAAGCCAGACGGGACCTGTTGAACGAATGAGGAAGTCATCATCATTAGAGTCTTTCTTTGCTTTTTCTGATCAGTCTGGCTGTGACTCATCCATCCTTCCCTCCATTTGGCATTTTCGGGGGGCAAAATGTGGGGTCTCTCTCTCGACAAGTCATCGGTCTATCACATGGGTTGTCTTGCTGCTTTTAAAGCTGGACTTACCTTTTTCCACATGGATTTAATCCCATTGCATTACATACTGTGAAGTGCACAGTTGCTTACTTTGATTATTGTGTTACTTCATTACTAGGTGTTGTATACTGTTTACAGCCACACTGCCTTTAAAAGAGGTGACAGCAGCAAACAGAGAAAGAGCTGAGGAGGCAGCTAAAGTAAAGGCTTCCTCACAAAGATGCTTTCGAAGCAGTAACAGGCTAACAGCTGAATCATTATCACTGAAATGTCTAAGAGGCATTTCTTGAATATTTAATGTCCACTGGGCATGCTTAAAAACAAGCTTTTGCATGTTTTGTTACATGTGCTAAAAATGAAAAGGAAGTAATGGCGTTTGGTCACATAAAGGTTAAGGGATCCGTGAAAGTTATAGGACGATCGTAACGAAAGCGGCTTGGAGAAAATTTGATGCTACAGTAAACTTAGAAGATAGCTGCTCCCTAATAGAAATTAATGAGGTTCAAAACACTTTGCTCTAATAGTGCTGTAGAGATTATTCATATCAAGCTGATTTATGACTCATTAGGAGTGGGCTGCTGCCATCTTCATGTTTTCCTCCACAGTCTTTGACATAGTCACTTCTCTTATTGTAACTCTCCTTTCTCTTCTCTCTTTGTTCAGCCTGCTTGTTTTTCTCTTGCCTCCACACCTCAATAAGATCATTGTCATCTGATTCTTCCTTTGTTGCGATCCACTTGCAGACTAGCAGGTCTGCTGCAGAGTGGAACAAAGCACAGATTCATGGCAGATACAAGATGATGACCACAACCACCCTCTTACTACCATTACCACCATTTTCTTTATAAAAAAGAAAAGAAAAGAAGAAGAAGCAGCTATTGCTTAGTGACAGCATTGTTAATAGTTTCAGCATCATTAAAATGGTCAGCATCGTGCCCCTGGTGTCATAAAACGGGGCGTGTGGAAAACAGAGAGTGCAGGACTCAGCAGACACAACATAACTTAAAATCATTGCTTTTATCGTGCAGGCAAAAGAGTAACAGAAGCAGAATAGTAACTAACTAACTAACCAGAGTACCATAAACTATACACACCACGATGGAGGATGTGACACAATACAGAGAGAGGAGATTGGGGTAGAGTGGAAACGCCTGGGAACGCATCTGAATAGAATCTACCTGAAATGACACAGGAACCAGAACTGACACTTGACAAATGCAAGATGGGACTATCAAAATAAAACACTAAGTAACACCCAGGCTAAGACATGTGAATTTGACAAGATAGAGAACACAGACGGCCATGTAGACAGAATGCAGACAGACCAAAAAAGACGCAGGACATCACTGGGGAGACCAAAGGTAAACAAACAATGAAACGAGACTAGGACAGACTGGAAATGAAAGCAGAACTAAAAATAAAACAAGAAAAAGTAACACTAGAAAATAAAATACTCAAGAATTAGAACATAAACGATCTTGTGCCTTTAATGAAATAAATAACAAGTCCAGAAAAAATCTCGAAATAGTGGGTTAAGGACCCAGGACCATGATACCTGTCAGGCTGAGATGTGATGCTGAAGCTGTAAGTGGAGAAAATAGAAGGACGTTTGTGTCCTTAGATGTTGTAATAAGTGATTCATCCTATTTATTGTGCTCTTAATGGCCGTGCCGATTGCGCATTGTGTTCGTCACACACACATACACACACAAATAAAAACAACACAAAAGAGGACGAGAACAACTTCCATTATGTTCCATCGCACTTCATTTCGTTGTGCCTGTTTTCCAATCTCACTGTGATAGTACATTTCTAAAATAGCAATAATACGCTCAATGCTTGTGTTTTTTTTTTCATGTACTTTTTGAAGTATGCTGCCATTTCACAAAGCCGACCTGTGGGGACGTGGAAATGAAAATGTTTATTTACACATCACGGTCAAAGTCGTTTCCATTTAAGTCCAACAGTATTAATTATTTATGTTTATAGTCTCAGATCACAGCAGCAGTAGCTGGCTTGATTTATTTAATTTTTTTTAAATACTATGAACTCAGGTTGATGAAGACACCAACAGCTTTTTCATTCTGCCTTCTCATTTTAAATAGTTTTGTCACCAGCATGTTTTATCACACATATCTAGTCTGCAATAAATAATAAAATATTGGGTTAATAGTCTGCTACTAAAAATTATAAGGAAAAGACCCAAAACATCTCTGTAGCTTACACACACTGACCTGCAAGATAAGTTGGATAGGTGCATAATTGTTCATATTATTATTATTATATTCATTCATCCACTTCATTAGGTACACCTTTCTACTACCCAGTCTCACCCCATTTGTCCTTTAAAGTGCATTAATTCTTTAGGGGTAGATGCAGCAAGGTGCTGGAATTCACTCAGTGCAGGTGTACCTAACAAAGTGGCTGGTGAGTAAATTTTCATATATTTCAATATGAGACTTATAAAAGAATAGACTGAGAAAATAGGTCTTTTTTCACTGATGTTTGAGGAAAGGTGCATCAGTGTTATCCATCTTAATTCCTGGCTTGTTTCACTCTGGATTCTTTAAGTCTGCAGAATCTGCCGAACACATCCTTGATCCTTTCGTGGCGATCACAATGTCGGCAAGGCCTTGTGGTTTCTGTGAGTTTCCCCTCACTGTCAGCTAAGTAAATACATTAAGTCCACATTGACGAAGCAAGAATGTGACTGGTTTCACCAGGAAGAACGTCTCGAAAAAGTCTCACAGCAATAAAATCGCTACTTTAACAACTTTCTGGTTAAATTCACAGTAAAACATAATGCAGAGAAGTGTATCCAGGCAAGCATGTAATTGACACTGTATTTCAGATCCTTTGATTGTATTCCAAAAGACGGTCATATGATCATTTGGCTAGATTGTCCATCCCTAGTTGGCACATGAAACCCCAAAGGGAGCTGTAGATGATAAGTGCTTTTCATTTATAACTTGTTTAATTTATTAAAAGTGAAATAACTTCTAAATATGTATTTTGGTGATAGCTCTTGAACCACAGGCACATGTGAAGCAAGACAGATGATAAAGATAAGAGTAGAGTCAGTAATATCTGGTATGTATGTACAGGTGGTATGTTCATGTTCATGGGTGTGAGAATGCACAGCGTATATGTGTGTACTCTCCTAATTATCTAAAAATAATATCCAAACATCATCTGTACCACTTTTTGTTAACCCTCAGCCGTAAAAAGCTGATGGGGTATTTCTAAATTGAGATCATTTGTGCGTCTACTTAAAATCTCAAATGTTCTGAAATCTCAGTGATCTCGACCTCAAGGTTATGAGGTCAAGAGCAGGTCAGGTTTTTTGAAAAACCAGTAAATGAAATGACTCAAGAAGGAAGTCAGCTAGGACTTGAACAGTCATACAATAGGTGCATTTACTAAAAAGCTTGGACAAGTTTCAATCCCAGTGGCCTTGACCTCGAGGTCAGAGGTCAACTTGTGATGATTACATTCATTTTTAATCAAACATAAGCTGAGGGCAGTTTTTACTGACTGCATGTGTTTGATATGCTGCACTGGCAGCTTTATGTTTTTGAACTCTTCATCCATAAAAACATTCACTCAAGCCTCAAAGACCAAGGTCACAAATCATATTTTTGGCGATAACTCAAGAACTTAATTATGACAATATTACACACAGATGTAAAATATGATAAAACGATGAAACAATGACATTTTATCTCCAAACGTTGAAAAGTCAACAACTGAGGCCTGATAATACTGACAGAGGCATACAACCATGAGTGAATTAGCAACAGCTTTTTTATGGCGATGGCCTTAGATTCTGGTGATCTTTAGTTATCCTGTGCAGGCAGATCGTTTCACCCACTGATGATACTTGAAATTATGCAAAAACAAAAGCAAAGTTCAAATGTGTCGCTAACCTAGAACGTAATCTAAAACTGTGTCTCTCGAATGGGAACATTTAATATGTCTTTTGATCAAAAGAACATCTAATCTGTCTAAATTGCTGTCAAGAGTTTTCAGTTTGGTTATGCGCATAATTGCACGGTGGAGCAAGTGAAAGTTAATCAGAGGGCTTGCAGTTTTGTGTCAAGTGAAAAGCAGTTGCTGAGAGTAATGCTGATTGGGAATTAGCTTCTACAAGGGTGCATGATGTGGTGGCCTCGCTGATCACGCAACTTTGCGTATTAGTATTTTAAAGAGGTCTTGTGTCCTGATAAATAAATCTGCATTTCTAGATGTTTTTGCCAAAAAAAGTAAATCCTGGTTAATTGAGGTAACCTGCTGTATTAAGTCACTGCCCACTCGTCTAGACAACAGAGGCAGTGCTGAAACTAGATGGCAACAAGCAAATGAGTTTGGAGCGTCGCTATATAAATATTGTAATAACATGACACGTTAACTGGCTAATGGACTCTGAGCTGAACATCGAGTTGGGCATTTTTTAAATAGCCTCCCCCTTTCCTCCTCTCACATGGC